TGGATGTAAATTTAAAAAATAAAAAATAAAACAAGTTAATAAAATAATAATAATAATAATAATAATAATAATAACTCGACATAGAACTTGCACGGCAAAGGGTAGTCTTCCAAACCCTTCATGCCCCTCTTTTCACTTCTGGTTTTTTAAATGAATAAATGAAGGTAAGCAATATCCAGGACTTGCCATCATAGTGATGAGCTGGAACCCACACTCACACCTTCCCACTCTTGCCCACTCTTTCTGCCTCTGATCTCACTCAGAGTTTATAGCAAACAGACCCCTAAGCAGACCAGACCCTGTGGTTTCTCCTCAGCCCTGCCCGCCACACCAGTAAGACTGCAACGGGTTCCTCCTACCTTATGCAGCTGTAGGATTCCTGTGGGTCCACCAGGCAGCCTGCCATATAGCCTGAGTGCCCCCAAATCATTGCAGCCACCTCTCCTTCCAACTTCATATGGTCAAGTTGTAAGACAGGACACAGCAGACACATTAACGCATCACCTGAGTACCCAGAATGCACGGTCTGCCGCAGGGACAGGTTAATGGGAGAGCAAGAACTATTGCACAGCCCCGGAGGCAAGCAGGACCAGGGGGCAAGGCAGCCAGGGTCAAGGTCAAGAAAAGGGTCCTGAAAAGAGACCTACAGGCTCCAAAGAGGCAGAACTGAGGGAAGATCGCAATTAGCTAAGACTATTCCTGTGTTTGGATAAACATGATGGTTATTCTTTCCTTTGTCTCTGGGCATGGTGGGAAAAGAGAGAAAGTGGGACTCTAAATAACAACTCCTATTGGCCATCCTCCCTTATCCTGGGGCAGGCCTCTCTAATCCAAGGATCCCTTTGATCTGGGATTTTAGAAAAAGAAAAAAGCCTGAGGAAGAGAAGTCAAAAATGATCCCCCAGGGAAAGTCACGGCCTCAGCGCCGACTTGGCTCTTTCCACGAGCCCTGAACTGCACCTTCAGAAGGACAGAAGGAAGGAAACAACCAAATCTACACTCTGAGGAAAGAGACGAGCTCTCCCCACTCCACAGGGAGACAACAGCACGCTCCCCCCGCTCCTGATGCAGAACGGTGGGAGTTAAATGGACAGAGCCCAGTGGCTCAGGCGTGGGGAGCGCCAAGGTGGCTGAGACCCAAGCCCGCCCTGCCAGGAGCTCCATCTAAGTGGCCCACAGAACACGCAGACCCATCTGAAACCATGGCTCCCTCACTGCCTAGTGCGAGATAGAGAGATTATTTCACTCTGGAACACTGTTAGCTCCAAGCCACAAGACTGCACCTGTGACCAAGAAAGTGTGCAGGTCACATACCTTACTTTGCAGGTGGGAGGTGAGAGGGAGGAAGGAAAAATGGAAACTCTTGTTGGAGTTTGAACCTGACCTCTAATAAATTAAACAGGAGGCTCCAAATCGTCAGCACTACATTCCCCGGACAGCACGTCCCCAGCGGTCTTGGCTACTGCCATAGGTAAACTCGCCTTCAGCCCTGCCTCCTGATTCAGAAGCTGTACCCTGATAATGCGAGGTCCTGGAGCCCCTTTCCTCTCCCTGAATCCTATCAGCTGCGGGTTGTGTAACCCTGCCCTGCACAGAACAAATACGAGAAAATTGACAGTAAGGCCTTTCACCAAACACAAATCCTCCTCTTCCCTCTGTTCCCCTTTCACTCTGTAGAGTGAACAGGCAAATCAGGGCAGAGCCACAGGAAAGATCAGTGTCCCCCCACCCCCACCTCCCCGACACTTCCCCTGGGCCACCAGCTGTGGTGGTCACCCAACTCGGGAGTTTGTCCATTTGCAAGATTCTTATTCACACTCACACTCTCCAGTTCCCACATCGGTAGCCCCCTCCCTCTGCTTCCTCTCCTGCCAGGATCCTACTCCACCAGGCACCTCTGTGAATGATTGACTGGCTGCCAGCGGGACCAGACATCTCGTCCACTCACTGCATCCTCCTGTCTGCAAAACGGAAATCACCCAACAGTAGCACTTTCGTGCCTCCTCCCGGCCCTCCATAAATGGACCCCAAACATGGGCGCCTGGGTGGCTCAGTCAGTTAAGCGGCCAACTTCAGCTCAGGTCATGATCTCGTGGTCCGTGAGTTCCAGCCCCGCGTCGGGCTCTGTGCTGACAGCTCAGAGCCTGGAGCCTCTTTCAGATTCTGTGTCTCCCTCTCTCTGACCCTCCCCGTTCATGCTCTGTCTCTCTCTGTCTCAAAAATAAATAAACGTTAAAAAAAAATTAAAAAAAAAAAAAAAATGGACCCCAAACATGCATCCTACCGGCTTTCTCCGAAGGTTTTTTTCTCAGCTCCCTGGGGGAGCAGCTGGATGTCTTCCTGATGGGAGGTCGGAGGCCAGACCCCTCTTTTCTTCCACTGTCCTCCCGCCTCCCTCACTGCACCTGCAGACCCCTCGCCTTCCCCTGCCTCTTACTGAACACTGCAAAGAAACGGTGAAGCAGACCATTAAAATCAAAAGGGAGAAAGGGAAATGCAGGGGATCTGGCAGCAGAGAAATGTTTTGGTGAGGCAGCTGAGAAAAGGAGTCAGGACAGTCAGAAGGGAACTGAGAAACAAGGGGAGGGGCAGTCCTGAGGCACCTGCAGAGTCCCACTGATGATGGCAGGAAGCTCGAGTGTCACCGCTGTGCCACCACCACCCAGAACTGCTGTTCACACGGCAGCCAGCACACCAGCATGATCAGACACCCCTACCGCCCACCTCCACACTCAGACTTAGTTTAAATATTTTAAACATGTACATTTTGGATAAAGACCAGATAACCCTTAACATTATCCTCTTAAGACTTCACTTAGTCTCCCATCAACTTCCTTTGGCCCCAAACTTCACCTTCCAGCCACCAGACCACCCTAAATTTATCAAACTCACCAACTCTTTCTGGCCCCAGGGCCTTTGCATGGGCAGTGATCAGTCTGGCATGCCAGTCTTGGCTTTCAAATCTTTGAGGCAATTGTCACAATGGCAACTTTATATTGATTTTTCTACCAATAAGTGCCTAATTCCCCTGTGGGGTTCTAAGCGCTTTGTTAGCAGGGACTATGCCTGGTTTTTTCATTGCCACATCACAATGCCTACAACTAACTGGCACATAACAGGCCCTCAGTCAGTATTCACTGAGCGAATAAATAAGGGTGTTGAGTTCTAAATAACCCATTGCACTGGGGCAAGATAGAGAGGAGAGGACTGGCAGGAATGCTTTGACTGTGCATGGAGGTTGCTCTCAGCTATTCAAAGTCTACAAATGAAGGTGTCTCTACCCCCAGACTTTCCAAGATGAAGCATCCGAGGTACTCAGTCCATAGCAATGGATCCCATCCCCCAGGGGGCATTCGAATGAGCCCATAACACTCTCCCCTCTTGGAACAGCCATCTCCAGGCCTCCACCAAAGCCTCCCCTTTGTTCCAAACACAACTTCAGGGAAAATGTCCCAGAAAAACCATAGACCCCACAGCACATCAGCTCCCCGCTAAACTGCCAGAAGAGATTTTTGCAACCATGGCTGAAATAGCCATGTTGGAGCCTTATCCCTCAAATGAGTGCTGAGCGTGGTTTGCCAGCCCCTGGACAAGTCCTCAAGCTCTACGCAACAGGGCTGGTGTTTTCCTCTCCACAAACCAGGGCTTATCAAGCACCTACTAAACACCTCATACTGCGCACTATGACTCGGGGGTTTCTGAACATCTTTGCCCTCAAATACACATTAACACCACAGCCTGGGCCCCTGGGCTTAATGTCTCAACATACTCCAAACCAAAACTTACAAAAGAGTCCTTATTGCCTGTAACACACTCTGAGAGTCCCTATATTATTTCATTCTTTTCTGTTTTTCAATAAATATCGAATATTGGGGGAGGGGTATCAGAATGACCAAAAGGGAGGCATTCACGGGAGGTTCTTGGTCTCACTGTTAATATACGAAGGTGTTCAGTTTGTGAAAATTCATCAAGCTGTACCTCTGTGACTTGTGAGCTTTTCTACATGTTCATCATTCTTCAGTACAATGCCTTGAAATCACTACACAAGAAATACAGGATGGCTACCCTCTGGAGTTTGAAACCTAGTCAGGAAACAAGACAAACACACCCGAAGCACAGAAGTGTAGGCAAGACATAATCAAAAGAAAGCTGGGGGAACCAACTCCAGTCACCCCAAGGACCCCGCAGTCTCAAGCTCCACCTCCTGCAAAGCAGAGTGTGATCGGGAGACCCTGGCCTGGGACACCCTGGAGTCCCTTTCGACTGACCCCCTGGGGGCGATCCAGGACGAGGAGAAGCTGATGGGAGAAACAGCGGTGGGCCCTTCCCCTGTCAGTAAATGGGAGCTGGGATTATTACCCAGAAAACGGCAAGGTCAGGAGGGCTTCAGGGAGGAGGTGATGTCTGAATTGGGCCTTCCTTGAAGGCCAGGTAGAAATGGAAGAAGAGAAAAGCAGGCAGAGGACAGGACAATGACTTACAGGGAGGAATGGAAGGGCAAACGCTCACAGCAGAGACAACCCAGTGGAAGGACCGGTAGGAAATTCAGTCAAGAGAGCAGGTAGGGCACCCAAGGAAAGAGACCCTTCTGTGGAAAGAGGAAGCAGTGAGAAAGGAAGAAGGAAGAAGCTTCTGGAAGCCACGTATCCAGGAAGCTTCCTCTGGGTTCCCTCCTGCCCACTTCCAGCGGATGCCCAGGAACATTCCACCAAGCTCAGGAGACTCCTACCTGCCAGCCCAGCCAGAATGACCAGCACGGTCGAGATGCCTTTCCACCTGCCCTCCATCACCACGCGTCTTCTTCACCCTGGGGAAACAAAGCAGCCAGGTAACCATCTGTCACTGACGAGCGTTTGGCATCCCGAGTACGCGGAGCCCCTACTGGCTCATGGGTGTCCGCGGAGGGACGGTCGGTGGCACCAGCCTCACCCCAAACCTGCTGGATCAGAAGCTCCAGGGGCGAGCACACAAATCTGTCCAAACAATTAAACAGTGAACCAATTCTGGCCCAGGCTCAAGTTGGAGAATCCCTGCATTAAACGATCTTGCTCCCCAGTCCAGGTATAAGTTATGGAAGGCAGACGGTATAGCCTTACTGCTGACTAGCTCACCAGGATGTAGGGGTGAGGGCTTGCTGCTTTTCATTTCAATCATGATGTTTTAATCACTGAGGGGAAAAAAAAATCCTCCCCGTAACAAGTTCACGTTACCAAAAGGGAAAACAGGCGAAATAGAACATAAGCTTATTAGAAGGTGCCAAAAGGTATGTATAGAGAGAGAACAGGGGGACGTCTGCAAGGGGTCGTGTGCGTGCATGGGGTGGGAAGTCACAGAAAGTCTCCGGAGAAGGTGTTCTGTGAACAGTGAAGGAGGTGAGGTGACAGCCACGTGGATATCTGCAAAGGAGCTTTCCAGGCACAGGGGGAGCAGGTGCAAAGGCCCCGGGGTGGGACAATGCCTGGCATGTTTGAGAGGCACTGGCGTTGGGGTGGAGTCAAGGGTGAGGGAGAGGGGGAGAGGTCGGAGCTAGGAGAGGTCAGGGTAGACTGAGCCCTAGGCAGATCATGGGGAACCTGTCATGTGCACCTCTTGGCCCTTCCTTCCAATCCCTTTGTTCTTGGATAAACCTCTTGCTCACCCCTCCATCCCTACATGTTCTCTTTTTATTTTTACTTTTTCCTTCTTCCCTGTGGTAGGCCCATGCAACACAGTCACCAGCAACGTGTGGTCCCACTGGAGCATGTAAGGTAAATCACCCACTGAACGTGTGGGGAACTGCCCGCAAAAACAATGGCCCCTTGGCTCAGCAAAGGGTCTCTTTCTTTCACAGCCTTCAACACCACCACCGTGTGGAGCACAGCTCCCTAACCAGGGGATGGTTTTCACTTTGGCTTTGGCGTTCACACAGACGTCACAGCCCCATCAACTGGGGTAGGGGGGGCGGGGGGGACCCTCCCTCTGAAATGTGGAGCACCGGGTTTCATCAGAGACCCCCCCTCCCCACGGCTGTGGGATTTTGTAATGGGCTGACACCTGTCCAGGGCTCCCGTCCCCTTTCCTCTCCTACAGCCGAAAGAGGCCGACCCCACAGCAACACAAAAGCACAAACACAGGAAGTGAAACAGGCACAAGTAACCACCACACCTCAGTCTGCGGAACCCATTTCACGCTGAAGCAGTGATCCTGGCTATTCGGGGCTCACGAGAAGGAACGCGGGTTTCCACCCCTCTGTTTCTCTGATGTGTTGGGAAAGCAAAACTCAGCATGCGTGCTAAACCTTAACCACTTGCGGGCACGGCACAGCGCAAGGTTCAAAGTCTGTGCCGCTGTGGGGACCCCGGCCCCCGCGGGGTCTAAAACACACCCCGCAGAGCTCCACAAATAGGCCCGGGCGGCAAGCTGTGCAGCAGCCCTACCCAGGCCAGACTGAAACCCCAGCCCTCCCAGACGGACTCCAGGTCCCCAATTATGAAGTGCCAATAAATCATTTACTAATTTGCAAGGTTCGATGCACACTGCTCTGACAAGTCGGTGGCTAGACCGGTCGTCTAGAAGGCTACACCCCAGCTGAGGATGCGGGAGACACTGAGCCCTCGTAGAGAAGATTACGCATCTCACCGAAGGCCATAAATGCCAAGCTTGGACCCAGTGTTTATTGAAATTGCAGCCGAAGTTTAAGGTCCATTAGGAAATACCAATAGCTGTGCTGAGTCAGGCCGAGTCTGAGTGCTGTGTTTTCTAAAGCCTCTGTTCGGCCTCCGTCCCTCACACGCCGTTCTGGCTTCTTCTCTGTAAGAGCGGTGACTCTGTTTCCCCAGAGTCCAGCAGAATCCCCAGGACGGGCAGGGCAGGAGCGCCCAGTGAGGTCCAGGGAGCCCCGGGGCAGGATTGCTGCAGGAGTGGATTTGTGCCCGGCTGGTATTTGAAGGATGTGTGCAGAAACGAGCTGTCCCTTCGCTTTAATTAAATGAGGACCTAATGCCAGGTAATTTGCAAGTTAACATCTCTGTGGGATAGTTGGACAGACCCCGGAGATTTCACTTCCCATTCATTTTGTTATGGAAGACTTGAAGTACCTACTTCTCGTTGAGAACCTGCAAAGTCTTCTTAAAGTCTTAAGTCTTGTTAAATTGTACTAAACACAGGACACCCGGGTGGCTCAGTCTGTGGAGCAACTGACTTCAATTCCGGCCATGATCTCACAGGTTCATGGGTTCCAGCCCATGTCGGGCTCTGCACTGACAGAGCTGAGCCTGCTTGGGATTCTCTCTCTGTCCCTCTCTCTCTGTTCCTCCCCTACTTGCGCTTTCTCTCTCTCTCAAACTAAATAAATAACTTAAAAAAAAAAAAAAAAAACTGTGCTGGTGCGCCTGTGGGGCTCAGTCCGTGAAGCATCCGACTTCGGCTCAGGTCATGATCTCACAGCTCATGGGTTCGAGCCCCGCGTTGGGCTCAGTGCTGACAGCTCAAGCCTGGAGCCTGTTTCCGATTCTGTGTCTCCCCCTCTCTCTCTGCCTCTCCCCCACTTTCACTGTCTCTCTCTCAAAAATACACATTAAAAAAAGGTTTTTTTATTTGTACTAAACAGGAGTTAACCTCCAACCACTCCCTTACTGCCCTGACA